TGGACCCCCGTGCGTGCGTGCATGCACGCCCCCGCCGGAGGTTGCATCTTTTCAAAACTCATTTCATGATCCGTGCGCGTATGCACTTCCTGTTGAGTCGCCTCATCGCATCGTCGGTAATACGGTACCTACATGCAAGTCAACGAGTTCGCGAATCGTGTAGCTGTGCCCGTCGAATCACAATGGGTTCGCTTTCACTCCAATCCTTCATTTCCAAGCAGCCTGAAGGTCCAAGCCGGGGGCAAGTCGCCGTAGACACTTCTAAGGAGCACATGGCACAGAACACCCAAAGATGCGTGGGACCGCGCCCCTTCCCTTCTCGTCGCAGCCCAATCACCAACACACTGGCGTCAAGTACGCATTCACGCACGCGAAGCACACGTTCAAAGTACATGTGAGCATTTCGAGCCTGCAAGTGCTGAGACGGGTGACGCATGTCGTGATTCATAAACAAAAGTTGAGAGCATCATGTGTCAAATGTGGGGATCGCGGGAAAGGCAGGGGGAGAGAGGGGGAGAGAGAGAGGGGATGTTTTCTTTCAGACGGGATTTTTCCCTTTCGGCATGGCTGAGTTTGAGTCGAGTTGTGGGTGTGGTGCAATAGCGGGCGCGGATTTCAGAGAGAGAAGAGGCATCATACAGGGCGCTCTGGATTCGTATGGAGTGCGTCTGCCTGGCGACGTAGAAGGCATCAAGATCAGGCAAGCCGACGCGGAAAAAAGCCGAACCGACGTGTGTTGTATGCGTCGGCGAAACTGGGTCGAGGGACAGCGGGAATGGCGATGCGCAAGGGCAAGCGAGCAGATCACTTGTATAGCGTCTTTTCGTACGAGCTCAGACCGTGCACACCACCCTCGAGCTGAGCACTAGCGGTCCGAAGTTCGAACCTGAGCGTTCCCACCTTGACGTTGTTCCTCAGCTGCTCCAAGCTCTGCACTCCCATATCCTGGAAACTGTGTTGCAAGGCAGTGTAGAGGTAATTGATAAAAGGCAGCACGCTACCTTTATCCGTCACTTGGCCCGTAACGCCTTGTGCCACCTTGACCGTATCCTCTTCCGAGAAGTACCTCTGCGTAGCCGCATTCTCTCCCGAAATCTTGTTCGTCTTGCGAGCCATGGAGGTGAGGGACCCCATGCCAGAGTACGCCTTGAACCTTTTGCCGTCTCTGTACACGTAATCTCCTGGCGCTTCCGTCGTTCCAGCAAACAAACCTCCAGCCATGATGGCCGAGGCACCTAGGGACAAGGCTTTCGCAATGTGGCCCACGTTGCTGATGCCTCCGTCAGCAATGACCGGCACACCAAACCTGTTTGCGAATTCGGCAACAGCGTGCACTGCTGTTCCTTGAGGTCGACCCACCGCCATGACTTCCTGAGTGATGCAGATGGAACCGCTGCCCATGCCCACTCTGAGACCGTCGGCACCAGCAGCGATCAGAGTTGCAGCTTGCTCTCTCGTGACGACATTGCCCGCGATGACGTCAATGTGCGGGTAGGTGCTCTTGATCCAGCGGATCATCTCTACTTGGAACATACTGTTTCCTTGAGATGAGTCGAGGATGACCACATCCAAGCCAGCATCGACAAGGAGTGCCAAACGTTCCCGGTCAGAGGGTCTGGTGCCTACGGCAGCAGCGCAGTACAGCTGCTTGGACTCGGGCCTCTTAGAAGCCAATGGGAAATTTTGGTTCTTGAGAAGATCGGATCTGGCGAGTAAAGAGACGAGGTTGCCAGCCTCGTCCAAGATTGGAAGCTTTCCTTTTTTGGAATCGCGCAGGATGGTGTTGGCCTCCTCTAAGGTGATGCCCTGCCGAGCCGTGACCAGATCGACAGTCATGACTTCCGTCACCGACACGTCTGGTCGGCGGAATTGCACGTCACGAGCAGTGACGATACCGAGCAGCTTGCCGCGAATCTTTCCGGTATCTAGCGTGCACAAACAAAGTTGGCGGGTCAGTTGAGTTCGTGCTACACTCGAGGACATATGCGAGCTGGCAAGCAAAGGTCAGTGGACATAGGTTATCAAGTCTCCCCATCCCACCTCGCAAGAGGTTATTCGGAAGAACGAAGGTTACAGCAAAATCGTTGTTTTCATCACGGAAAGCCGCTCAGCGCTTGGCGCTTGGTGCTAGAACAGCGAGCAAGTAGCCCAAGGGACGTACTGAGCAAGAAAGCAGCTGACTCACCAGTGATCGGTACACCGCCAAAGCCCAAGCGCTGCTTGATATCCAGCACATCTCCGACTTTAGCGTTCGGAGAGAGACAGAGCGGTTCTGTGATGAATCCATTCTCGTACATTTTGACTTTTCGAACCATTTCAGCTTGTTCCTCTGCCGAGAGATTGTTGTGAATGACTCCCATACCTCCCATTAGACCCATGGCGATGGCCATGTCCGTCTCTGTCACCGTGTCCATCGGAGAAGAGAGAAATGGAGTGTTCAGGGTCACGTTTCGAGTCACTTTGGTCTTGAGCGATGCAGCAGAGGCTGGAAAGTCAATGTAACCTGGCAACACCAAAAAGTCTAGAGATTGGACAGGCGCGTGTGTTGAGATCTCAGTCGAGGTTTTTGAGACGTGGATATGAGAAGAGTCGATCGCTGCTCACCATTGTAAGTCAAGCCGCCGTGCTGACGGCTGTCGATGAGTTCATCCATGCTCAAGCCATCGCCAGTCTTGTAAGACGCGAGGGTGCCCAGCGCATCAGCAGGATCAAGCAGCGCCTTGGCCGATGTCGATGGCACGGCCGAGGTGGAGCTTGCAGTGGGTGCCATTGTCAGCAGTGAGCAGGGTTGTACGAATCGGTGCTAAACACGTTCGAAACGGTCTCAGCTGAGATTGCGAGTCCGAATGGAATAGTTCCAAGTGTCGATGTATGTGGGATACAGAGTCGTTCTGGCTTGCTTTGGGGACGGGCGGGCATTCGACCTGGTCGTGGAATGGATCAGAGTGCGCTCACCGCTCATCTGATCGACGCGGCTCCAAGCAGCATGACCCCCGCACGCTCGAGCCCCTCGTCATGACTCCCCTCAAAAAAAAATCACAGCGTTCGTGCTGCTGCATGCAAAGTCGCGCCCCATCCAACCCGAGCCAAATCATTTTTCTCGAACGGCGTCGCAATTTGTTCAAAATGAGGTCCCCCGCTGCTCTTTCGGACGAGACCCAAACGCGTCTGGC